ATATTACAAATATTGATTTTTTTTAAACCATAAGGTGTTCAAATAATTTTCGATAATGATCCCGCCTCGAGAAATTCGAACCCAGTACATATGGATCTCGTGCGTGAACGCTTAACATCTAGAACACTGAGCCAGCATCCAATGGTGCTAATGTCTAACTTCAGCATATGCTTACTAGTGACTGGTTTCAAGTGGTATTTCCTGGAGTCCTAGTGAGAAGCAGTGACCAATGGAGTTCAACCGGGTCTGGTTTGAGATAGTAACTCGCTGAAGACAATGGTGGACGGTGGCTCAATTTCGTAGATTAGTTGAATCTCGTAAGGCGGGATCGTGGATCGCATTTCTAAGTTGTCCTAATATAGGACAGAATGGCTATCGAATGCTTCCAGGTTTTCCATGTTGGTCTAGATTCAATTGACTCATGATCCCAACCATTGAAATTATCAAAATTGTTTAACTGCCGTTATCAAACCCTACATTATGGGGAGGCAAGTTGAAATAGTTTCGATTGTTCAATGGTTGGTAACTGTTGCTTTGCTGTTTAATTGAAGCATGATATTGATTTTTCGATCATTTGCACTAAACTCTGATTACTATTGTTTCCTTTTTTTCAAGTCGCTGATCGTTTTAAGTATTTAAACTTCTATAGTTTAGGTAAGGAAGTTTGTTAGGTGATCCACTTCTGAAAACCAAGAGGCGATAGAGAGCTATTTCGTTCTAGCATGGGACTGCTTAACAGTGCGCATCTACGGATTTGTCAAAGAGGATTTGGGCCCAGGACTTTCAGTTTCCTCATGAACGTGTAATCCTTAGACCTATGAGGTGGCATTTGAACTCTAGGTATTGTATCTTGAAGTCAGTTACTAGTGGGAATATGATGATTACTAGGATGGAGAGATTGGTGGACTTTGTAGGATTTCCTTACCTTAAATCATGAACTGATTTTATTTAAACTTTCTAAGTAGTCATAGATACTGTTATAAATAATAGTGTAGAAGATTGGTCAATTTGTAGTCTATATAACAGGTTGGTTGTAGCTAGACAACCATGGAGAACTATGATCCATCGTTTCATCCTAGTATGGGACATTTTAACAGCTCGCATTCTGCGACGTTATCAGGAATCGAGCACTAAACCTTTTAATCTCATAGGGTCTGTTGTCTGTCGAGCTACTAAGATGATGTTCTTTAATTAACTCTCATGGATTCTATTAAATTTTAGATATGTATTATTAATGACTGTTAATCATTAACACTTCAAATGACAGAATGATCAAAGTGTGATATTTTGATCTTTAGGTCATTGAAACATTGATTTATGAAATCTTGCATACAAAAATTTGTAAAGTATTAAACTATAATGAAATTGTTATCTAATTTCTTTTTTGATTTGTGATCTTTCCTCTTTTTTTAATAAAATTTATATGTATATTACATAATATTACACTTTTCTATGTATTTCAAAATCCTATGACTAACAAATTACATATACCAATAGACCATTAACACATATTTCGTAATAGTTCATAAGTCGATGTAAGCTAGACCACCATGGAAAACCCGGAAGTACTGGACGACCTTTTCGTCCTAGTATGGGAATCCTGATCAGTGCGCATCCATGATCCCACAGCAAAGAGACTCTCACCCAGAACCTTCGATCTAACACGTGAACACAACTTCTTGACCACTGAGCCGGCATCTAACGGTTTTTATGTCTAACTTCAACCAACACATGATATTGAGTGACAGTCCATCATTGTCTTCAGTGAGTAACTACCTCACAAATCATTTTTATATCGATCAAATATTAAGTTGAAGTAGCCATTTTACTTAAGCTGACATACACTTGTTTTTTGAATATAGTCTTTTAAGTAAGAATACAACACTATTGTAGTTTCATGAAGTTTTTAGCTGAGTATTTTATAACAGCCTTGGAATGTAGTCATTTTACTGACTAGTGACTGAAAAAAAACGATCCAAATATTTTAACTGAAAGTCGATACTTTTAAACCTACATGATTTTAGCTGTCAACACTTCTTACTATGCTTATCAATTGAATCTGTAAAGACATTTGAAGATTTAAGTTTCCAACCTGATTAAATTAAACATCTAACCATTTTATATAAATCACTTTCTGAACTTTAATTTCATTGAGCTTTGTCCGATTTTAAACAAAACGATCTGATGTGACAAAGTCAAAATTATTCTTTTTCATATGTTGGTCGTGTGAAATAAACAAGCCTAGGTAATCTGTAGACTGTTGTCTGAGATCCTATTCTTTTTTTCAGTACTTTTACACTTACTTAAGTGTTTTAGCAGTATTAGATAATAGAATATTTTATTGTTCATTCATAAGTTCCATGGAGAAGTAATTGCTTCAAGGTTTAACTGATAAGGTTGTTTTTTTTCAAAGTCATTAAGTTGTATATGAAGAGTAATTGGAAATTCCTATTTCTTATCCTGTCAATTCAGTACTTTTGTCCATCATTTTGAGAAACGTTTTGTTATTTTCGTCTTATTACTCATGAGTAGCTAAACGTTTTATTAAACAAAATGACATGGCCAGTGTTCAGTTAAAGTAGAACTATATTCGAAAGATAATCAATAACTGTTCTTATAAAGTTCTTTCTTGGTTCACTTTACTGCTTAATTAATCATGTGTCATTTGTATGGGACACTAAAGCAGCTCAAAAATGACAAAACTATTGATGCAATGGTTACCGTAATATGTTTACATGATTTACATGATTCACTTGAAAGGTGAATGCTTATAAGCCATAGGATTCGTAAATAATCACCTGATATTTGACTGATAGCCCTATTCCGTGTGTGAGGTCTCGTAATACCCAAGTCAGGGTTTGGGCCTAAAACCTCTTGATTGAAAGTCGAACACTTATGATATTAATCCAGCATTCTGGAAACCGTCCGCATCAATTAGCAGTATTATTTAAATCGCGGACCGATCAATGTTAGACAACCACTGGAAACTTAGAATCAGGGGATGGGTATTTCGTCTCAGCATGAGGTTCCTCAAAGGTGAGTGTCCACAACCCCTTATGCAGAAATCGAACCCAATACCGTCGGTCTCTTTCATGAACGTCCAACCTCTGGAGCACTGAGTTGGCATCCAATGATGTTCGAGTGCAACGTTAATCGGTCCACGATAGTGCACGATTATCTCCTAATGTATTTGGTGGGAGCTTTCCTCACATGTGATACAGTTCAGCTCAACTGGTAGCGTGCTATCTTGGAGTGATTGAATTTATAATAGAAACCATTAGATGCCCCTCAGTAGTTTGGAGTTTAAACGCTTACATACAAGGCTGAAGGTCATGGGTTCGGTTACCGCTTGCGGAATCGTAGATGTGCACCTCTAAACGGTCCTACAATACGATGGGACATCAGTCCAGTCCTTCTAGGTTTTCAATAGTGGTTTGACATTGATCGATTTGTGGTTTTAATGCAATTTAACAATCTCCACAGACAAATTTTGTATTTGTCTATACAGAACAACTTTTAAATGGACAGGTTGTCAAACAGAATAGTTTATTGTTGTAACCATAAGTGAAAGATTCATATCATAAAAATTATTATTACTATTATTATCGCTACCATATCTGAAAACTTTTGAATGTTAATCGACTGAAGAAGTTATATGGAATAACTTTACGCAATACAAGTAAGAAGACTCAAATTTAAAAAGTATCTCGGAATTTTCAAGATCAGTAAATTGGTCTTTCCTTCACTAACATTGTCGATACATGTAGTCGTTATCCACCTCGGATACCGCATTTTGTTTGGTAAGGGAGATTTCAGTCTGATTATAGCTACATGATTTAATGTTCTATCTGTTGAAATTTATCAGTAGTGAATATACAATCACAAAGACTCAAATTCTTATCACCTACATATACCATTTGAAATGATAATATCAAGTTATTTGATTAACATAAATTTATATTTTCACCTACATCAAGGCCATATGTAAACCATGGTGGTAATAGCTAAAAAGTACGAGGCTTACATATAAGGTTTTTTAAACGTATATTTCTAAACATCTAACAAAACGATTTTTATAATCGCTTATTCATTTATCTGGTTGTTTTCGTTAGTAACTTAATGAAGCTCATGAGTAGAATGAAAACCAAATTGAAGGTCTTAATCAAACTGACTACCAATTTGCCACTTCGCAAAACAACTGTGACTATGTTGGAATTAATTGTATAGTTGGTTTTAATTTGATGGAAGCATAAATGTCATCTAATCAACTTAATGTTCAGTGATCATGACTGTACTCTATTAACAAATTATTTAGTTATCACTATAATTCTCTTTATGCAATTACATATCATTCAATAGATTTAATGGGTCTGAATTGATAGGGTGATTGAAATCACTGTGACAGGGAATATTTGCTCTAATACACCGAAAACTACTTACCACGTTGTGTTAACGTAAAATTTAGCTATCAGTCTTGAAGAATAGGCTAGAATGTTATAATAGAATGGATGGATTGTGGTTAGCAATCGAATCCAGGACACACGTTTAGTTCTGTTTGAGTCTCGGCGTCTACATATACGTCCATCCTAGAGTTGATGTTCACTTCGGAACTCAAACCCAGTAACAAATGGTGCTGAGTCCAAATCCCGGAATAAACATTGACACTTCTTTGCAGGTACATCTAGCTGACGAGTCTCAAATAGTACGAAACACGTGTCGTGCATTCCACTGTTAGTCACATTACATCTATTCTATATTAACTTATGTTATAGTGGCTATATCGAAGCAATGCTCAATGAATGCCCATATACCAACCAAGACTGATCAAATCTTAGTCAAATTATCAACAACTGGATTATTCAAAGCATTTTAAATTGAGCTAAGAAGTTGTTAATTTGTGATAGCATTTCATTTCTTTGAAAATTTAGTTGCATATACTCAATAATTCAATAATTATTAATTTATGTATATTCCTTTTTTTTTAATTTTCTGTTTTACAGCTATACACTACAATGTGTTTTGCCAATTAATAATTTCACAGAGAAAATCTACGTATTTCTATGGTTTTGGTTTGCAATACTTGGTTTATTAACTACATTGAATACATTACAATGGGCATTAAATACAATATTACCATCACGTCGTGTACGATATATTAAACAATATTTAAAAGCATTAAGACTTATATCTAGTACAGAAGAACGTGATTGTGCACGTTTTGTAAATAATAATTTAGGCGCTGATGGTGTATTTATACTTCATGTTGTTTCAAAAATAGCTAGTGATCTTATTGCATTAGATGTAACAGCAACATTATGGAAAAATTATCGACAAGCTAAAATTACAGGAACAGAAGAAGATGTCAATCGATTACTTGAAACGGTGAATCGTGGTTCTTCTGTTGTCTGACCATAATGTGGACGTCGATTTGTTAAATTAATATCATAGAAATCAATTTGAAAAAATCAATGAATCAATATTATCAATATTGAGGAAAAAAACAAAAGTGAACATATACATGAGCACACGTACATACATATGTTGACCAAAACAAAAACAATTCAAGTTTATTAATCTCAGTACTCATTAGATCGGCGTCCACATTTCAAAATAAATAAACAAATTAAACTCCAAATAACATTTTGATTATATCTGTCTTTCCTAATTCATAGTTTATTATATGTTGCCAATATTATTACTAATAGAATTATACAACTTATTAATGTAACATGTAGTATATATATATTGAATATTTTTTTGAGTAATCCATGAGATTTATTTATAAAATCGATTACAGATTTTCAAAATATTAATATATATATGAGGACCAAATTCAAACCCCCCTCTCAATTCATGCTTATATATATATATATATATATATATATATATATATATATATATATATATATATATATATATATATATATATATATTAAACCACTTGAAACACTGATCTATTCAACACTGTTAATTAGTAATTTTTAATCTTTCAGAATTTATGTTTTTCAACAACAACAACAAATAACAACTAATGGTTTCTTCATCTCTATCACATTTTGAATGTTTCCATATTATCTATTAAAAATAACTAGGTGGATACATGGATTAGAAAAAAAAATTCACAATGTAACTGAACTTCTAATTAAATTTTATGTAAGTAGAGTTTATTTACAAAATAGATTTATTGAAAGAAATAGAATTCAAAAAAATTGATAGGTAGATAGACAGGTAACCAGTCAGACAGATAGATAGACAGACAACTAGCTAGATAGATTGATAGACAGATAGAAAAATGAACAGATTAACAATAGAAACAGATTAGTATATAAGCAGATCAATAGAAATGGCAAAAAAAAGAAATGAGCACACACACAGAGAGAGAGGGAGGTAGAAAAAAGTTACACAATAAAGTGGAATGAAATCTGATTTGATTTTTTTATACTTTTCTTTCTTCTGTCTTTATTTCTTAATTTTTGTTTACATTTTATTTTATCAATAATTTTTTTTCTCCCTTTTGATCTACTGTACAGAAAAATAGAGACCACTTGTAATAAAAATGTTTTGTTTTTTTAAAAAAGGATCATTTTTATATCATTATTATCATGACCTTACACAATATACATCATCTCTTACTTCCTCTTTTATTAGTTTGTTTGTTTATTTGTTCTTTCTCCTTGTTATTTATTGTTTGTTTTTATTAGAATAATGAAATTGGAAATGATTAATTTTATATTCTATGTAGTATAAGATCATATATATATGTCCATATATGTACATGTATTCCTTCTCTCTCTCTCTTTCTCTCTCTCGCATGTATGTACTAATGATTTAGTTAATATTCAAATTCTTTTTTGTTTTTGTTTGAAAATTCAATATGATAAACAAAAGATCATAACTACATATTGAAGAGTTTCTAATATCATCGCCACAATTATAACAACAACAACAACAATGGTATAGACATTAGAGATTGTTTTCTTATAAGAGTTCAAAATTATAATGAATAAGATGAAAGATAATATTAACAGAAAGTAAATGAAGGTTAAGCTGTGGATTTTGTCATGTTGATATTGATAAAAATAAACTGATATTTTCTTTCTTATTCATTTTCCTCTCTTCTTATCATCCTTTGTTGTTGTTTTTTTATCTCCTATTCCTCATGTAGGAATTATTCTTGTTTAAATAGTAAGATGTGTATGTGTGTGTTTATGAAGTGTTAAGTATTTCAGATTGTGTCTGTCTGTCTATCTATCTATCTATCTGTCTATCTGTCTATCTGTCTGTCTATCTATCTATCTATTTGAGTCTATGGCTGTGTACATATGTGTCTGTATGGAATGATCATATTAATATTATTTGTTATATCATTAAACCAACAATTACATATAAACAGATCAAATCATATACTCAACTTTACTTTCATACATACCTTCCTAATTACTGATATGATTATTGTCTATGAATGTTATCTATTTCCCTCTTCATATTGAATAATGAGTTGTTTTTTTTTCAAACTAAGGTTGTGTAGGGAAGAAAAAGGAAATAATTCTTTTTCCGTAAATTTTTACATGCATTACTTACTTTCCTTTAGATATTACTCTCAAATTACTATATACATATATATTTAGAAATGTTTTTATAAACTGAAGATAAAAAAAATCCACATTCCAAATGATCATATTTCATAACTAAAAATAAGTGTGTTGTGAGAATTAGTCCAAATGTACACACAGACATATATATATATATATATATATATATGTATACAAATTGAGAAGACTGGTTTGTAAAATGTATGATTAAATCAGGAAAATTAAGGGACCAGTTCCTTAGTGTTACAAGTTATATACAGTTCAAATGAATTTAGATTGTTGTTAACAGTGTATACATATGCATACACATACAACATAACAAAAGGAATCAACAAAAACAACATATACACACTCTATTTGTAGCAATCTAAATCAAATTTGAATATAATATACATTCGTCCTTCTCTTTCTTTTTCTCTTTATATATATATAATTGTGTACAATCACATAAGCATAAATATATAGCTACGGATACACATGTAACTAATTCATATTCAAACCGTTATTTGATAGATTCGTTTGACAATCTTTTTCATCTTTAATCTCTTACTTCTATTGAGTGTTTTACCTAAAAATTGACAAAACGCATAAGATAAAATAAGAAATAATAGAATAAGTGAGCAACGATAAGAACGGAGTAATGGTAGTGGGTAGAAGACAGTCGAACTACTATATAAAGCACCAATTTTTCCTTTTTATTGATGACTTTTTTTCTATAAAATAGTTTCTCATTCACACGCTCTTCCTCTTTCTGCCTTGTATTTCTCACATACATGTCTTTATGTTAATTTGGGATTTTGTTCTTCAATAGTTTTTTCTACAACCCCCCCCCTATCTTGTAAATTACTGGAGTTATCATTATTTATTTATTTCTCATTAAGTCCATTAATTTACTTGAGTGATTCATATATATATATATATATATATATATATATATATATATATATATATATATATATATTGGAATCATACCAGATATATAAGCAAAGATAGTAATCACTAATATCTATACGACGAATATATATCTACCGTTTATTATGATGATAATTTTTATCTTGAACACCAATACTACTAACAGTAATAATAGTAGATATATTTCTGTGTAGTGTATTTTCTAAAACAGAAAATGAATTTCCTATACCTAAGGGTCCATCATTTAAAGAATCTGTTCCTTTTTTTTCTACTGAATTACTAATATTTGTCGTTATCGTCGTTATTATTGTTATATAACATTCCTTTTATACTGTCAATAGCAGTGTGTTGTTATGTGAACCATCTCAGTCCTTTTTAAATAGCAGGTTCATTTTCATGTTAGTGATATATACATACAGACACCCACACACATACATGTATACATGTATTTACACATATATGTACATGTTTTGACTTGATTCAACCATTTAATTCTTTTATTTAGCAAAGTATATTATCTAGGTTCACAATTCTAACACACGTCCATATATATATATGCGCACAAAGTCAATTTCAACCATAGTGAATCAGTTAAAAATATCATTGTTCTTTCACCCCTCTTTTCCTACCTCTTTCTTTCTATCTTAACACATTTACTATTATTCAGTTCAAATGTCAGATTGTTATCTAGTTTGAGAATGATCTCCAACCACTGACCATTCATTCCTGTTAGCTCTATTTCGTTGCTGTTTTTCTTTTCTTACAATAACAAAAAACTACTACAACAAACGACGACAACAACAACTAACCAGAGTGACAACGACATCGATAACAGCAATGATAACAGTGATTAAAACGACCACAATTAACAACGAAGAAAACGTAGAATAAGATTCGGAAGAAGAAGAGACGATAAACAAGAGGATTTATGTTGTCAGCATTTTATTCTTTTTCCCGTGTATGATATTGTACAAATATTCTCTATCCATTTTTTCTTCTTTTGTTCTTTCATGTTTCGTTTGTTTATTTTATTGCTCAAGATAATAAACAATATTATGATAGTAATAATGATATTGATAATAATAATAATATTAATAATAATAATATGATTATTACTAGTAATGCTACTAATAATCGAGTAGTGGCAACTATGTCATCTATTTGTTTGATCTGTTTGCTGATTATTTTAAACAGGTTGGTGTATATAATTCTGAGCAGAAATATTCAAGTTATATTTGAAGAGTCTCTGGTAATCTGATGCATCTGGTTGTGTATGTATGTATGTATATATGTGTGCATGCATGTATGTATGTAAGTATGTATGTATGTATGCATGTGTGTTAGTGTATTTTTGTGCTTGGATTCATTAACAGAATAAGATTAAACTATAACTGAATATTGTAAGCAAAGATGGATAGTGGCTAGCAGTGGAATTCAGGGCACGCGCTTCGTCCTGTTTGGGACTCGTCAGCTGGATGTATCTGCATCTGAGTTGATGTCCACCCTGGAACTCGAACTCAGTACCGTTCGCTTCAAACGCCATCGCGTTATCCACTTAGCTACTGATTCCTGATATCCCCTTGCTTGTGCAATGGGGTGAAGTTTATAACCGGAGATAATTAAAATATGTTATTGATACTGTTTTGACAACATTTTAATTTATATTAATAAGCATTTAACCCTGACAGTATTAGATTGGTATTTCATCATAATTTTGGACTCTTTAACAATATGTAATAGTGACTACACATTTTTTAAATCAGTAGTATTTTTATACATTGGTTTAAATGTTTTGGTGTCCATCATAGCATCTAAAGGTTAGTGTTGAATACTATTGAGTGGTTCAGAATTAAGTGGAAACAGATTTCAATGACTTGTTTGTTTTCAGATATCTTTCAATTGACA